CAGCCCCTGTAAGGCTGACACTAACCATCTAACCCTACACTCTAACGGAGACTTTCATTCCCTCTGAGGTCAGGCAGGTGTAGAAGAACATCACCATCTATCCTCAGAGGGTCTTTCTACTGGGGCCAAACATACAGCAGAGGTTACAGCTTACAGCTGAGGGTCAGTGCACAACATTATCGAGGAGCCTTTCCAAAGGCCTCCAGGAAAGGCATGACGGGGAAAACAATTTTAATAGAAAGTTCTGAAGGAAAACCCAAAACCTGTGGCCATCCTGTGTTACACTGAAAGGCATGTATCATTAAACAGTCATGTAATCGCATCTTTGGGTTATCCACAGTCCCTGCTGAATTCAGGTTTTTAGATAGCCAACTTTTGATTCTCCTGAATGTCTTTAGCCCTTTGCAATTTTAGCAACTTTTAGCTCCTGCTCTGACTGTATGAGTTTATTTCCTCATTGTCCAAAGAAGTGTCTACCTTTGCTCTGAATCTGAATGCCCTCCGGCTGTGGGCCTTCTCTATGCGTCTATAAAGCTCTGTTGCTTTTCCTGTAAGCAGACTCCCAGACTTTACTGACTTTACTTTTGCTGATGGCTCATCCAGACTCAATTTATTTGAGTTCCTTGGTCTAAGGAGCTGAGATTTCACAACCTTCTCTTCACTGTACTTAGGTCATTTCTGCCTATCCTTCTGTTCCTGATTTGCATGTGACATGTAAAGATTGTCCCTTCTAGTCTCAGGTTCTCCCTGTAGAGAGATCCCATCGCATCCTCTGAATCTCCAGACTTCATTCAATTATGAGACCATTGTAAGTTCAAGAAGAAGAGTACTGAATACACCATGGGTGGCTAGAACAAACAGGTTCATCCTAGAGAGGGTGAAACCAGGCTCCTCCTTGGAGGCAAGAATTCTGAAGCTTTGCCTGACATACTTTGGGCGTGGCATACTTTGCAAGGAGGGTCTAGTCCTTAGAAGGGACACCGTGCTTGGGAGGTTAGAGGGACAGTACAAGAGAGGAAGAATCTCAAACAGATGGATTGATTCAGTGTCTGGGGTAATGGGGGTAGGTGTGTCAGAGACAATAAGGTTGGCACAGGATAGAGCAGGGTTCAGAGGTATTGTCCACAGGGTCACTATGAGTCACAAGTGACTCAATGACATATAACAACACATGACATATAACAACACAGCAATATCAATCTATTCTTGTTCATCAAATATTTCCCCCTACAGGTCATGTGAAGTAACAACGAAAACAAGATAGTGGACCCTTCGGTGTCCTCAAAGAGGGTGCTGGGTGCTTTAGAAGGACAGTCAGCACATCCTTGACATACTCACGTCAGGTCAGAGTTATTAAACTATTAATGAGTGAAGAAAGCACAGTATTCCACCTCATCCTGCTATCTGTATCTAAAATGAGAGATGATATGAGCAGCAATAACAAGAATAGCTAACATGTGCTCCTTAGAAGTAACAATGATGAGACTTCACCTCTTGCAATTAGAACATACTAGCAAGAAGGACTAGTCTCTGGAGAAGGACATCATGCTTGGTAAAGTGGAGGGATCCTCAAGGAGACGGACTGACACGACGGCTCTAACAATGCACTCAGACACAACAACTGCTGTGAGCAAGGCACAGGACAGCAATGTCTCGCTCTGTGTCACACAGAGTCCCTTTCATCAGAAAGGCACCTGATAAGAATCTATGCTGAGTGTCCGCCATGCGTTGGAGGTGGGTCAAATGATTGGCACACACCATCCCTTTTAGGTTTCACAAAGATCCTCTAAAAGATTGCTACTATTCTCCTCATATTCCAAATTAAGAAATGAAAGCCCCAAGTGGTACTAACCCAAAGCCATTAGCAAGTAAATAATCAAAGGAAGAGTTTCCCCACTCTGCTACTAGTAAACCCCGCCATGTCATTGTTGCTAGGTACAGCCAGGGCGACTGCGACTCACAGTGACCCTGAGAACAACAGAGGGAAGCTTGTCATACGCTACACCCTCCCCACTCTCTTCCCTCAGCCAATCGTTGAAGTTCTTGTGTCAGTCCAACTCACTGTGGGTCTTCCTCTCTTCTCTACTTTCCTAAGCATGTTTATTTCAGGCACATCATTGAGAAACAACCCAAGCCCTAAAAAGGCTATCACAGGTGGTCAGCAAGAATAAGAGACACCTTCAGTGATAAGGATTGCTGTCACAGCCACAGCAGTGGGGTCCTACTCACCAGTCCTCAAGAACACGGCACAGGGAAGACAATGCTTTCTTCTAGTCTATTTAAAGTCTAACAGACTCCACAGCAGCTGGCGGCCTCTCTGTCGTTGTGTGCTTTGAGTGTAATTCCACATTTACTTGTGTGATTATTACACGAAGATCTGCTTCCAAAGCAAGCTCCAAACCTGGGAGGCAGGCTCCTTTGTACGACTCTTCTGGGCCCTTACTCGTCCGGAAGCACACCCAGAACAGCTCACAGAAGGTGCAGGGAATGGTCCCAGCAACAAGAAGAAACGTGAGGTTGATTTTGTACTTGGCATCCATCTGTTGTATACCTCCTTCCCTTCACCCAGCTTGTTGTTGTTATTGTTAGGTGCCGTGGAGTTGAGTATGACTCATAGCAACCCTATGAATAAAAAAGCTGAACCCTGTCCTACCCTGTGCCTTTCTCACCATCTCTGACGACACCCTAGTACGTTGTTGCCATCACTGTGTCAATCCATCTGGTTGAAGGTCTTCCTCTCTTTCACTGACCCTTCCCACCTTTCCAAGTTTGATGCTCCTCTCACTGACCCTTCCCACCTTTCCAAGTCTGATGCTCCTCTCCAAGGAAATAACCTCTCCCAACAACATGCCCAAAGTAAGTGAGACGAAGTTTTGTTACCTTTGCCTCCAAGGAGTATTCTGGCTGCACCTTCTCCAAGACAGATCTTAATACATGTCAATTTACCAAATTTTACTTCCCTCTCATTCTCTTTCCATCCCATCCAACAGCTATTCTGTGTGTAACTCTTCCTTTAGTGTTTTATGACAGTGGTCTTATATAGTATTTATCCTTTTTGTGGCTGGCTTGTTTGACATAGAATAACGTCCTCTAGATACATCCATGTTATATAGCACTTACTGAATTCTTTACTGTTTTTCAGTGTTGTCTCATACTCCATTGTGTGGATATTACTGTATTTTCTTTATCTATCTCTCTCCTGATAAACATATGGGTTGTTTCTATCATTTTGTTATTGTAAATAATGCTGCATATTTCTCACTCAAAAAAGGAAAAGACAAAAGGGTACAGAAATAGCCATGGAAATCATAATTACAGGGAGGAAATAGGAACAGTGTAATTACATTATGGGAATTGGAAGTACTATTACAGAACAAAATGTGATTGGGTGACGGAATGAAAAACTAATCTTTTTGGTAAGCCTTCAGATAACAATAAAATGGTTTAATTGTGTGTATATAGATGTATATGACTGTGTGTGTGTATAGCTGGTAGGGGCTTTTAAGCCAACCACTCACGGAAACCCTATGAGCAACAGATTTGAACCTGCCCTATCATCTGCCAACCTCACTATTTCTGATATGCTGGAGTCCATTGTTAGAGTCGGTATGTTAAGGCATCTTGGTGAAGATCTTCCTCTATCTCTGGCCCACCTACCCAGCATGATATCCTTTTCTAAGCTCTGGTCTCTCTTGACAACATGCCCAAAGTGTGCGAGACAAAGCTTCTACCTCAAGCCACTTCAACCTCATGGGCTATAATGTCCCATTACGCCAAAGTGTTTTCTTGGCTGTAATCTTCACAGAAATAGTTTGCCAAACCTTTCTTCTGTGAAGCTCCTGAGTGAGTTCTAATCACCAGTCCTTTGGCTATGAATCCATCAGAAAGGGCTTGTACTTTCCCAGGTATGAAGAGATGTACTTCTGGACAATGTACAAACAAAAGATTTCAGAGAGTCAATACCAAAACGAAAACATTTTCTATTATTTGAAAAAGAACAAGGGAGACAAGTGCATCCTTGACTTGATAACATTTATTCAATATTCTTTGAAATTAGCAAGAACTGGAAGAAGCACAGATCAATCAAATACAGCCACAAAATTGTCCTGGATATAAAGTAAGACACACTATGAGAAGAAGTACACACTAGTGAGGCGACCTGTCCTCTCCTACATCCACTACCGCTTAGCAACAGACAACTCAAAGGCAAACTGAACTCACTCACAATATAACAACTCTGACCTTGCAAAGGAAAATATAGAGTCAACTTGAGCAGACGCTGCCTCCCTAGGCTGTTTTTTGAGGTGTGTTTTTCTTCTAGGCCTAGTTTGACAACAACTGTTGCAAAAAAAAAAAAATTAAAATAAAATAAATGATCAAAACAAAAAACAACGTCAAAGAATATTTCTGCGAGGTTCAACCAAACAGTGTGGATAGAAATGACTTACTCATGCACAGAATAAAGCAGAGGCTAATTTCATCTGGGTTAGGAATAGGAAATTGAACTAGCTTATTTAATTTTTTTCCACAAAAACGAACATTTCAGACTTCTTTTTTGAAGTAACAAGTATACTGTATTATGCATCGTACTCTACAAGTGTTTCCTAACGCTACTCAGAAAGCCAGCACTCACGTGTCAAACAGAAACTTGGCCTTGGACACACTTAGTCTGTAACGACCACAGCGATAGATCTGGGTCTTTCAACTGTGTCTACCATGGAAATAGCATACAGCATAGAAGCATACAGTTCACAGAGCTGAAAGGACACGGAAGTGAAGTCCAGGGAGCTCCCAATTTCTGTGTTTAAAATATTTTCTTCCCCCCCAAAAAAAACCTAAAAGCTGCAGAAAATTAGTTCTTCAATAGTCTACCATAAACTCTGAAGTGGCTACCATGTTTAATTCCTTAAGCTTTTAATTTTCTTAAAAATATTGAAACAACTGAAGGATCCCATATTTTTAAATTTTTTTTTGAAAAATAATCCCCCCCAGAAAAAAGATTACAAATCTTTTGTTTTAATCAGTGTGACCAAGGGCTTGTCGTCAGGGCTGTAATCCTCATAGGCTATGGAAGTCACATCATACATCGCCGGGCGCGATTTCTTTCCAAACCTGAAACCACACAGAGAGAAAGAGAAGAAGGGTGAGAAAAATGGGTTCTATTTAAAAGGGCAAGTGGTGGAAATAACGCCAATTCAGGAATTACATGGCTCTATGAAAATAGGAATACATGCTCCAGCAAATACTGAAATTTGAGACACTTCAGGACACACATTGCAAGAGCCTAAGTATTAGTCTTCAGTGCAGGAAAGAACAACCAAAAAAATGAATTTCGACAAGCCCAGGGCCTGAATTAATGCCGAGTTCTGAGGCTAAATCTTGGCAAAGCGTCCAGGCATGACGTTTCTACAACAGGTTTTAAGAAAACATGTATCGATTTGTCTTTTCCATACTAAGACTCATAAATATTTGCAGAGGGAAGTTTATTTTCCAGCGGAGATGGTGTCTAGAATGCAGCCATCCTTGCAGGGTGATCTTTGCTGGCCTGGACAGCCACCTGGCCCAGGGGACATCCAGGCTGAACTGTGCAGGGAAGGAGGCCATGTGAGGTCCTGACAGAGGGACATGGCAGAGGGAGGAAGTGGCTTTCAATAAGGAGGGGTTTGTGCATGGAGCGTGCATGTGCCCCCACCCCCCAATCCCACCATCACCCACACACTGACACACACGGACATCGTTCCCTCTGTCTGCAAAGCCACAACCCTGCAGATTCGGATCTATCAAAATCCCCATGACAGCAAGACAGACAGACGTCCAGACGCCATAGGAGTCAAAAATCTGATTTTAGTTCTTCCTGCCAAACCAGTCTTCGGCAGCGATTATTAAAATAAAGCAACATGCAGCTTCTGGGTGGTCTCTTTGTGGTCAAGACCTCACCTTCCTCAAGTCCTGGGGTGCAGTGGGATTTAAACACTGCCTGTCCCTGGCCCAACTCTCTGTCTTGTTACAGACAGCATTTGATTAACTGCTTCAAGCCCCTGTGGGAAGGGGCTTGTTCCCCACAGCTTGGCCCCCATGCGTTCTGTGCCCTCCATGGGCTGTCTTCTGAAAAATCTACCGCTACTGCTCAGAGAGGAAAAGTAAAACCCAACAGGCAAAGAGAAGTGCTGAGGCCTGCTATGACTTTACACTGTTAAACATTCACCACTTACGCCTGGGTAGAGAGCTCTGGTGGCCTCGTGAGCACATCCAGGGCTGCAACTGTTTGTTGAAACATGTCAACTGGTACTCCATCAATTCCTGCGACCTTATTTTTTTTTTCTCCATATGACTTCAGAGCAGTTTGAACTTTTTCCTTTATTACTATCAATTCTTAATCATACTCTACTTCCTGAAATGGTCCTGTGTCAGTCAATTCTTTTTTGGTCAGTGACTCCATGTATTCCTGCCATCTTCTTTTGGTGCTTCCTGATGGTGTTGGTATGTGCCAACTCCAAATGTGGCCCTATCCTGAGCCAGTCTTGCCAACTGATGTATTTCAACAAACAGATGTAGCCGTTAGTGTGCTCACCAGCTTGTGCCAAGAAATCTGGAGGATAAGCTACCTGGTCAACTGACTGGAAGAGATCCATATTTATTCCCATTCCCAAAAATAGTCATCCAATGAACTGTAAACATTATCGAGCAATATCACATGTAAACAAGATCTTGTTGAAGATTATTAAAAAATGACAGAACAGAACATCAGTAGAGAACTACCAGAAATACAATCTGGATTTAGAAGAGGCCATGACACTAGAGTTATCACTGCTGATGTCAGCTAGATCTTGGTGAAAGCAGAAAGTTCCAGAAGGATATTGATTAGTGTCTTAACAACTGTGCAAAGGCCTTTGACTGTGTGGATCACAACAAATTATGAATAACATTAAAAAGAATGGGAATTTCAGACTATGCTTATGCAAAACCAATACCTAGTTCAAGAAACTGTTGTGCAACCAGAGAAAGAGAGCTCTGTATGGTTTAAAATTTTAAAAAAAAGTATCAGGGGTATATCCTTTTTCTATATCTTTTAAATCTATATGCTAAACAGATCATTCAAGAGGCTGAACTTTATAAAGAAGACTGTGGCATCAGGACTGGAGGAAAACTCATCAACAACCTGTCTAATGCAGATAACACACCTTGCTTAACAAAATTGAGGTGAACTTGAAGCCTTTGTTGCAGAAGATAAAGGACTTCATTACATCTCAACATAAAGAAAACAAAAATCCTTACCACCAGGCCAACAGGCAGCATCATAATAGATAGAGAAACGATTGAGATTGTTACCAATATCATCTTGTTCAGATCTGCAATCGACACCACTAGCACCAGCAGTCAGGAGGTCAAAGACAAGTTGCATCACTAAGATCTGCTCGCAAGGACCTCTGCAGAGTGCTAAAGGGCAAAACGATCATTCTAGAGACTAAGGTGTCCCTGATCCGGGCCATAGTCTTCTCAATCACTTATTACTCATCTGAGAGCTGGATCATTATGAAAGAAGACAGAAGAAAGAACAACACCTTTCAGTTGCGGTGCTTGAGAAAAGTACTGAACATACCATGAACTTCCAAGAGAACAAGTAGATATGTGCTGGAGAGGGAAAACCCAGTTTGCTCCTTGGAGGCAAAGATTTTGAAGCTCCATCTCAGATACTTTCGGAATGTGGCCAGAAGGGACCAGTCCTTGCAGCAGGACATCATGCTTGGAAGAGTGGAGGGTCAACACAAGATAGGAAGACGTCAGATGAGACAGACTGACACAGTGACTGCGGCAAAGGGGTCAGGTGTGTCAGAGATGGTGAGGTTGGCTTGGGATAGAACAAAGTTCAGAGTCATTGTTCATAGGATTGCTTTACGTTGTAGTTGACTCGATGCAAATCACAACAACAACAATAAAGCAACTAAGAAAAGCCTGACACTTTGCTCCTCTGGTCGATTATAAACCCCTGACTGATGGTAAGAAGAACAGCTCTGAAGCAAATGACACTTGGGGACAAGATAGAGAGGACTCCCCTCTCCACGCCAGCATGAACTGACAGGTGATGTCTGAACTTCCAGATGCTTCCTCAGAGACATTTACGAGTGTCCCTGCACTGCCACTGGCCTGTCATCATTCGCATGCATGCTCACCTCCAGCTGGCAGCTGGAAAGAAGCCAGGAAGTGGACGTGAGGAGGAGGGCTCCTCGGAACTGGAGAGAGGGTTACAGCAAAAGGTTAGGATTTTGCCAGCCTCTTTCTAGGGTTTCCAGGAAAAAGGAGGCAAATGGTTCGGCCAGCCAGAGGCCCAGCCTTCCCGTGGCCTGGCTACAGAAACCACATTAAACATTTGGAAGAGCTGTTGTCTTAAAATCTAGAAACACAAGACTACTACTAACACACCAAGAGATTGATCTACACTCATAAGGACATGCAAAAGACTGTTTGAGGTGAGAAATTTGGCAGCAAGAATTTTTTTATCCAAGTCAGCCCCAAATAAGACGCAGGTTTATAAAGCTTTCCAAGTTTGCTGTCATCTTACAAGTTCTAGCAAACTGTCTTGCCAGTGGGCTGTATTGGAAGACGGTGAATATATTGTGGCTTCAGTAAAACACTCTTCCCCCCAGGAGCCCCAGATGATGCTGGGAGTAGAGGGAAATAGGATTCCCTGCATCTCAGGACATATCTCAGTAGCAAGACATGTAGTCTGAGGTTTCCTGTTGAGCTGAGCCCCCTGGGAGAAAGCAGACCCATGAGCATCAAAGAGCACTTTTCCATCCTCCTGTCCTCACTCCATTCTCCCCTCAGTTGCTCCCTCAATGTGTTCAGGAGCCACAGGTATCTGTAGTCTGCTGTCACTCTAAGCAACCACCACATGTTCGAGAGAGAGCAGAGGAAGGCCAGAGAAGTGTCTAAAAGTCCCAAGAGGAGTCTGCTTCTCAGTGGCAAAGTTTAACAGGACAGCAAGTAATAAATGGTGAAGAGGATGTGGAGACATAGGAACCCTCATACACTGCTGGGGGGATTGTAAAATGGTACAACCACTCAGAAAGACAGTTTGGTATTTCCTCAGAAAGCTGAACATAGAAATTCCATATGACCCAGCTATTCTACCACTTGGAATATACCCCAAGAAAATGAAAACTGAGGCACAAAAGGAGATTTGTACATCAATTGTACTTAGCAGTGTTATTTATTCATCATTGCAAGAACATGGAAACAGCCCAAATGTCTAACCACAATCTAATGGACTAAAAAATTATGGTTCATTTACATGCAGCATGTAGGAGCAATGAGTTAGTAAATCACCACTTGGCAGGGACTGGGAGAGCATTATGCTACATGAACTAGCTCAGTCCCATAAGGACAAATAATGTATGAGACCATTATTATAAAGCATGTATGAGGCATGAAGGAGAGGTAGAGCAGGGGGTGAGGTTGGTTGGGGGGGGTGATTAATCATAGGATCACACAATTTGATGGATGGAGGGAGGGGTGGGTAAAGAAAATGGGAAAGATCTGGTGTGGAAAACAATGTATATGAACTTTGTAAGTAAATTAATATAAAATTATTTT